CCAGCTGGTGGGTGTGACCCTACATTCTTATCGACATCCATCAATGTACCCCTCTTATCAAACATCGACTATAAGCCAATACAATTTTCTATCTTTTCTCCAAAAATTATAATCTTCTCTTGGTTTACAAAAAAATTCCCTTGTCTTGGAATTTTTTATATTTTGGTAAGGGTTGGTATTCCATTTGGTTATAGTTTAAACCAATATATAACAAAGATATATTATAATTGGTTTTCTATTTTTATTGAGTTCTGTTAGAGTATATTCAGGTTCGGTTTGGTTGCGGTTATAAATAATACGGTTCAGCGTTTATTCAGATTTTCATTTCTCAGCCTTAAGAAGAATGAAAGACTAAATGACTCGGCTCTATAGCTACTACTGGTTTTAGCTATTAAAACCAAATTCCATCACTTACTCTCTCTTCTTCAGAGATTGAATATTTTAATTTCTTATCTGTTTTGAACTGATCCATTTGGCTTTACCCAACAGCTTTTACATATTGTTTGTCAAATATGTTTCTTATTAAAAGGGAAAGCATTCTTCTAATTCTACTAGCAACCAATCCAAAATAAATAAAATAACTGTTTATAGAGCAATAATGGTGGATATATATATATTTTTTTTGAAAACAAATAATGGTGGATATTACAAAACACTGTGTCTGTACATATATACGTATGTATATGAATGTACATTGCATGGATCAAACTTCTACCTACGTGAAAAGCAAGTCATCAGGTCTGACCACTCTGAGATTCAGACACTCTCATTAATAGATTTCCTCTTTAGTTATTCATTTTCACTGATTTTTAAGAATTATAATATACATTTTATGAATTCTTTAAATTTTGTTTCCTTTTTAAAAAAAATGAACTCTAATTTATTTGTCGGGTTTAAGACAAAAACTGAGTGAGCAAGACTGAGATTCTTCTGTTCAGCATGTTTCCCTTATTAACAACTCTCTTTCTCTCTTCTTCTCTTACAGTTACTATACACTGTCCATGATTTCATCACTCTCTACGTACTCCTC